CTCTCTCTCTCTCTCACACACCCTCTTTCTTTTTACCTTTCTTTTCTTTTCTTTTCTTTTCTTTTTTTTTTTTTCTCTCCTTTACCTTTTGTGTTTGCCATTCACGGGCGGTCTCGATAGCGCGGGCAGGTCCTCGTAATTTCTCCCCGGTGCTGTTGCCTTGCTCCGGCCCGCCTTTAAACATATCGTCCGTGCTTTTAAGGGCGAAATAATTACTTTGGGAAACGTTGGCGCTCGCAGCAGTGGCGGGACCCTCGCGTTCGCCAGATGATACGCTCTGGTAAATTCTCTCGCCAATTTCGGATTTCCCCGATCCGGCGTGAACGAGCAAAAGTGGCAGCAAGTTGGGGCTGGAAGCTAAAGTCGAAATTTCCGTAGTTGCAATTTGATTTGGCGGATCATCGAGCTGCGACTGTGAACTGTGTATTTTTTCTTTTTTTTCTTTTTTTTTTCTTTTTTTCTAGAGAGGACGATTTTGAAAGAAGTGGAACCTAGATGAAATTCATTCATTTGGACGACTAAACTTTGAATCTTTTTTTCACACTTTGTATTTCTTTGAGAATGATGATCACTCGTGCTTTTGGATATTTTTGTTAGACGATGTTAGATGATATTTACCGGTTGTTTCGGTCGCATCGTCGCGAACTTCTGATGGATCAATTTGATCATTTGACGGTTCGGTGGAGCACGGTTTGTCATTGGATTCGTGGTACATTCTCTGATCTCCTTTAATTCGTAGTTTACTTTCTCTACTTTCGTCCTCGTTCCAATCGTATATCTTTTTCAACTCTTCGTACAGTGGTTTCACGCTGTCAGACACTTTTCCTTTTCTAGTCAACACGTAGAAAAAATGCAATGAGGAAGAATCGTAACAGTGTCGACTTAAAAAAAAAAAAATCTACAATGAAAAAGAAGAAAAATATTCCGTACGATATATTAAATATTTCTTAAAAAGATAAGTATATGGAGTTTTATTTATAAGTAGAATTATTATTGATATTACTGTTAGTACCGGATTCTGCTAGTGAAATTTTAAAGAGACTACAGTAAAAATTTCTAAAATCAATTAGATTATCCGCGTGTTCTATTCTGAACGAGAAACACAAAGACATGAGAATCCATGCATCTTTGAATGTTAAAATTTTTGAAAATGAAATTCGATAAAATAGAATGA